AGAAAAATTATATTTAAACCTATCAAAATAAAAATAATTATGATGAGGACTACCAGCATGCACGTAAAGAGTGGTACATTTGGTAGTGAAACACTTGGAGACTATTGTGATGCATACTTAAAAACTAACATTAAGGTACTATCGGATGTCTTTAAAAAATTTAGAAATAAACTGATGCAGTATTCTAGGCTTAATCCGTGATTCAATCATTGCCTGTTAGTCGATTTTAATGAGTTAAACTGAAAATAGACGAAGTTCTTGCTACACCAGACAAAATGCCAGAAAAGTATTTACTGAAAATAGACGAAGTTCTTGCTACACCAGACAAAATGCCAGAAAAGTATTTAGTAAAAGCTGATATAGAACACCCCAAACAATTGCATTCTACTTTATCCTGAAACTATTCCAACCTCTCCTGAAACCATAAAAGCATCCCATAATAAAGGTTTCTTAATTAAATTAACAATTTGAGATGTAAGTATACTGAGTGTTTAAAATGTTTTCTAAACCTGCTCTGACAGGTAAAAGGTTTATTCTTATTATTTAGGGTTTTAAAATCATTGTCTATTATTGTAACTTAAAGCTATAGTAACTGCTTGGAATAAATACAACCCATATTAGTAGGGTCATAAATTTTCAACATGTATGATGGGTTGTGTCATACATCTAAATAAATACTAAAATGAGAAAAGAAGGTAGTGTTCTGTATTTTTCTGTATAGTTCTGGGTTTGGTAAAACTACGGAAAATCTACAAAAACAAGTTGACGTTGTTTGTAGCAGTGAAATAGATAGATTAAGAACAAAAGTTGCACATCCAGTACATTTTTTTCATAAAATAATTAAACGGTAGGGCGCCGACACCCACCTAACAACTCCAACTCACCTGGAGCGTACAGATAATATACTAATGCGCCAAAAAATTATATAAACTCATCAACGTTGATGGCTCTCTCTGCTGACTGTCATGGAGTTTAGGTAATTATAACAGACTTTATTTTAACATAGCGTTTTACTCAATCAATTAATCTCTTCAAAAACTTTTACACAGGCATTAATTCCTTGCGCAGATATTAACTTCTCTTCAGCATATTTCGCACCACAGTCTTTCATTACAATAAATTTTAATAAAAGTCTGTGATTTTAAATCAAAAGACTGAAATGTTCAACAATTCCTTGCTTACAATAGTTTTGGCCGCAACTAACTAGACCTGCACATTAAGTTTCTTAAGAAGAAGAGTGACTTTAGTTGGTAGGCGGTTCAGCTTCTTCGAAAAGCCAGCCACGTTGACAACTATTGAAGCGTATATATAAGTACTCTGATTAACTTTGTTGTGCGCTAAATAGAGCAAGTCTGCCTGGTAGACTGCATTACAACTGCTTTATCAACTGTAAGTTTTAATACGTTGGTAGGTAAACTTGCCAAAAAACCTGCTTCTTTTCACTAGTAACTTTTTTGAAAAATTTGTAACCAGGGCCGACGACACAGGTTTCGAAGTGGGGGGGGGGGGGCACAATCGTTAATTTCTAAAAAAAATTCTCTTTATCTAGAATTTCCTAAAAGAAAAAAAAAGGCCTTTAAAAAAAAAGTGGGGAGACACGTGTCCCCCTGCCCCCCTGTGTTGTCGGCCCCTGGTAACTATTGTTTTTTCATAACCCGCAGTAATTATGATGAAAATAAAAAATTAAACCCCCCTCAAAACCTTTTTAAACTGTAGTCTAAATAAGTCTAAATAAACATGATTATCCAACCTGCTCAATATTGTTGAGGATAATATTTTCACAGTAATCAAAAACGGTTTCAAGGGAATTGGAATATTTCCTCTTAATGTTAAGAATGTATACATAGATTGTATTTTGGGAACAGCAAGTGTTATATCTCTATAAACTGAAGAAAATCAAGGATATTCTCTAGTTGATACAACAATACAAAAATACAAAAATTAAAAATTCATTAATATTGTGTTGCAAATCACAAAAAAGCCTGTAAAAAAAGGAAATTTGTTAATATAAAACGGCAGGATTCAGAAATTATGCAAAAAGAGGCTATGCTTGTACAAAAATGAACATTTGATAAAGATAAATTGGATTAACAACGTGATAAAAATATTAAAAAAAAACTGTGCGAAGACAAAGAACATTTTGCGTTGATTCGGGCAAACGAATCTACCAAATAAACATTTATCATCTTTTAATTTTTATGTTCAAAGTTAATTCAAAAATAACACTTAACATTTTTTATTCGTTATAATATAAATAGATACTTAACCAGATACTCAAGCAACACTTATATTCAGCCTAAAGATTTTTTGCAGCAACGGAGTTTTCAATATCTATTAGAGGGCCAAAAGAATGGAATAAATTTATATCTAATAAACTTAAAACTCATGAAACTCTTAACAAACTCAAAGTAAAATTGAAACAAATGCTTCCGGTTAGTGACGGATTGCATGACTTCTTCTAAAGTTATTTGGTAGTACAGATAAGCTTTTTTAATTTATTTTAAAGTTTATCTTTCCAACTTATTGTCACTTTGGGCGAATCATAACCTATATATTTAAATATATATATATATATATATATATATATATATATATATATATATATATATATATATATATATATATATATATATATATATATATATATATATATATATATATATATATATATATATATATATTTGGAGAGATTCAGATCCTTATCTACTTTACTTTCGATTAATAATATTAATTAGTATTTAATTTTAATTAATTAACATCTTTTTATTTATTCTTATATTAAGAGTTAAACCAACATTTTATTTTTTCTAATTTGTAACTTTTTATTTGATTTTTTCAAAAGAATATAAATTTTTTCACAAGTTATATGTTGCAAAATTTATTTTTTATGTATTTATTACTCTTTTTATATATTTTTGCTATTTTTATATATTTATTACGAGAAAATCATATTTCTTATATACTGGTTACAATTACATATGCTGTAAGTAATAATTTTTATTTTGAGAGTTGATTCTCGGGGCTTGGTGATAAGAGAAATTGTATCTTCTTCTTGCCCCGGCCATCTGTATTTGTACTGAAATATTGATTATATGTATATATACTTATATGGCAAAAAAAATAAATAAATAAATAAATCCAACGAAAACAAAAAATTTAAATCATAATATTGCCTAAAAAGCGTTGTTGACTTTATGTAGTTGAATTGTTTATTAAACATAGTAAAAAATAACTTCTATAAAATGAATGCTCTTTTATTATCTCACAGACAAATAACATAAACTGCTGTCAGAAAAAGACGTCACTTTATAGATTTTTTATTTTAATTTAATTTAAATGTAAACATGTGATTTTAAGAAGATAGTGTATGAGAACATTTTTAATTTTATTTTTCAAAGGTGTAGCAGCAGATTCAAACATCATTGAAAGATGAAATAAATTTTTTGGAGTTAAAAAATGGGGGGGGGGGGGGGACAGGATTTTACGACGTCCTTTTCAAGGAGGGTATAGGGAAAAAGGACAACCGGTGACACAGGGGGGAGGGAGTGGGTCAAAAATTGGCTAAAAAATGGTGACGTTCTTTATGGATGGCCCCTATAATGAATATATAATATGGTCATTAGCCTTTTCTAATATAATAATAGTGATAACTTTTATAAACATTAACTCATTTAAAAATTACGTTAAATTATAGTATCTGCGTTTGTTTTCCAGAGCAATAGTTGTGAAAAGTAAAAGATATAAATTGCAATGTTGCGTATGCAAAGCAGTTTTTAACAACGACTATAAAACTAGTCATGAAAGATCCATTATTAAAATCATATCAGATAAACTTAACGTGATGGAGAAAGAAATTTTAGAAAACAAATCAAAAATTAAAAATATAGAAAAGGATCTTAACGACGTTAAAGGTAGTCTAAATTTCCAAGAAGAAAAAACTTTAGAAAAACTTAAAAAAATTAAAAAATACTTCGACAATGAAATCAACGTATTGTACACAAGAACAACAGATTTGGAAAATCGATCACGTCGAAATAATCTCAGAATAGATGGACTAGTAGAAAAACCAGGAGAAAGTTGGAGCGAGTGTGAAATTGCAGTGAAAGAAATCTTTAATAAAAATCTTAAAACATCAAGCGAAGTGGTTGTTGAAAGAGCCCATCGAATTGGCCCAATTAATAATAAAAAACCTAGAACAATGGTATTAAAACTCTTAAATTTCCAGGATAAACATCATGTTTTTAACAGTTAAAAACATGATGACAGGATAAACATCATGTTTTTAACAGTTAAAAACATGATGACATTACAAAGTTAAAATTTAACTTGCAAAGACAGGCAAACACAAACGTTTAAAAACGTTTGAAAACAGTATTTTGAAACATAATAAGAAAATAGTCCACGCTAATATGCGTTTCAAAACGTTTTTATTCATATTGAAAGGAATAGCAAAAGCGAATGCTAAATGAGGGAGAAATTTTTTTTTTTATTTTTATAGAAAAATGTGGACAATGAAAAAACTTTTAAAGTGATAAAAACATTCACGAGTTTGGTAGTAATTAAAATTTAAATGAGTCCAGTTTATGATTTAGTACCTAATTATTATGGCAACCCTGAAATTGCATTTTGATTTCGCTACTTTGCCGCCCCTTAATGGTGCCGCCTGAGGCGGCCGCCTCTTTGTATCATAGCACCGCACGGCCCTGTAAGTTATGTTGTGCTATAGTTGTTGTGCTTACATTTTATTATGGCTACTGTCACTAAAAAGTGAAAAATAAATAGAAAATCAATTAAAGAAAAGTACACTGCTTTGATGAAAATTGGAGAAGGATTGTCAAAGTCTCAGGCTGCTATGAAATATGGCATTCCAAAAAATACGCAGTCAACATGGATCAAAATAAAGAACAACATTTCGAATGTATAAAGACGCAAAGGAACAAGTCAAAATGTATTAGAATTAAAGAAGGAACATTTTCAAACTTAAATAATCTTGCTTATAAATGGCTTTAAATTTAAGGAGCAGAAACGTGGCAGTATCAGCAATAAATCTTAAAACAAAAGCCAGAGAACTTGCTGAAAAAGTTAATATAAATGAATTTAAAGCGTCTAATGGTTGGTTTGATCGTTGGAAAAATAGGTATGTTTCTTTCAAGACAGTATGTGGAGAGGGTAACTCGTGTACAGCTGAAATGACCAAGCCATGGAAGGAAACAGCCCTCCCCACAATTTTATCCAGGTATAAACTTGATGAAATTTATAATGCAGATGAATTTGGATTGTTTTTTTGTATGCAACCTAATAAGTCACTAAATCTTCAATCTGAGACATGTATAGAAGAAAGTAGCGTTCATAATAGATAACTGCCCAGCACACCCGACGGTTGATAATCTAAAATCTATTGAGCTCAATTTTTTTTACCATCGAATACCACATCTAAACTTCAACCAATAGATAAGGGAGTTATACACTTTTTGAAAGTTTAACCCTTGATGACAAAAATTTTGCACAATCTTTGAGAAGCTAAAACTTATTGAACTTTTATTTATCCAGTTTTAATTTTTTAGTTGTTTTGTTTGTAAAGAGCTAGTTATCTTTTACTGAAAGTTTTGTTTACTTAATTTTGATTAATTAATAAAAAAATTTATCGAAAAATGAAACTACATTAATTGAACAAATTATGATTGATAAGAACATCAATCGCCTGAAAGGTCTTTTGAAACCAGTCTGGAACTTCAACAAAACAAATTGCAAATAAATTCAAGTATGATCATTCCTACATTGTAAAAACATTAAAAAACAAAACAAACATTTGTTATTTTAAGAAAAAACAAATCCCTCATTGCACTGATAAACAGTTCAGTTGCAACTAAAGTGTGGTAGTGTGAAGTGTCACGGTTTCTGAATTTGCCGCAAATTCAGAAACAGTGACTTTGTCATTGAGGATGAGTCTTATTTTACATTTAAACATACGAATGAAAATTATGATGCTGGGTTTTTTTCAGATGAAGCAAAAAATGCACCAAAAAATGTAAAATATCAGTGTAAAAGTAAATTTGAAAAAAATATTCTTGTGTGATTACCATTTCACCTCATAGAATCTCAAAACCATTTATTGTTCTTGCGAGACTGGCAATTAACAGTGTACAAAAATGATTGCATCATCATACAATTGGATCCTTTATCAACAAACATCACAGTGATGGTATTTATATATTCTGGTCTGACTTGGCCTCTTCACATTATGCTAGTAGTGTGACCAATTACATCGATGAGAAAAATATCTGTTTTGTAACAAAAGTTGATAACCCGGCATGTGTCCCGGAATTACGACCAAAAGAAGATTTCTGGTCAACCCTTAAATGCTACGTAAATGAAAACAATTGGGAAGCTCAAAATAAAGATCAGCTGCGAAAAAGAATCCATTCTTGTTTAGAAAAGTAAAATGATAAAAATGATAATCATGATAAAAAAATCTTGTACAAGGCAAATCTTTGTACAAGTGCAAACATGTATACAAAAAGTTGACGCTGTACGTCGTAATGGCGAGAAAGCATTATTTCAGTCCCAAAAGTAAAAAACGAATTTATTGCTTTACATTTTATACTAATTTTTTTGTTCATTAAACCTTTTGTTGTACTGTTACTGCTTTTGTTTATTTTGGGCCAAATTTTTGTTTTTCAACCAGCCTTTGCAAAAATTGCAAAGGCCGGTTTAAGCTATTGATAAAAAAAAAAAATCTTTAAAAATTTAGATCTTGGATCATTAATTGTTTTGCAAAAAAAGAATTTCCGCAGATCAGCAGAAATAGCATATTTAGATGAAGACAACGACCCCTTTAAAGAGGTTCAAAATCAGATAGAAAAACTTGATAATTTTTACTCTCCAGGTACAACAGCGGAAGATATTATTTTTGCAGATGAAAACTTAATTAGCACAGAACCTTTACTTACATATGAACAGTTAAAAATGCAGCGAATAAACATGATGCTAATGACGAGGAAGATAATGATGATGATAATGCAATCAATCCAGTTTGCCCAAAAGTTTGTGATATTTGGGAGGCATTGCAAATGTTGTATAAATATATATGCCCTTAAGTCTTATGGGTGAAGATTTGCACCAAAAGCTCGATGCATTCTTGATTACATTTGATATAGACGTCTTCAAAACTAAAACAGAGTGACATTAGAACATTTTTCAATTTATAATGTATTATTTTTACTTTTGAGATCAAAACTTTTAATAACTCGAATTGTTTTTAATTATCAACCAAAGTTCGTGTAATAGAATGTCCCGATAACTCGAGCATTCGCTAACTCGAAATATTTTCAAGATCCCTTCGAGGTTCGAGGTAGTAAGCTCCCGATCACTGTATTACCGTTTTTTATAGAAAATGTTCGACTTCATTTTAGAATTAGGGTTGAGCTTCTAAAACGATAAAATTCATAAACGCACAAAAACCATTGATGTACCATACTGAAACTTACACTGTGTTACACTAATAGAGTTTTTTCTTTTTTACCTTGTTTAACCAGAGGTTACCTTACCGCAAAAATTTAGTTGCATTTAGGGTTGAGCTTTTTCGGTAAAAACGTTGATGCACAAAAAGCATCGATGTGACATACTGTAATGTGCTTTTTGTTTCATTAATTAGTGTTTAGCTTTTCACTTATATAAATAAGGTTAAAATGGTAAAAAGCAAAAACGCTATTAGTGCAGCACAGAACAGTATGGTAAGTCTAATGTAAAATAATGTAAGTCTAAAGTAAAATAATGTTTTTTAATTTACAGTTTGATACATCGATATTTTTTCGTGCATTTGCCGTTTTTACCGTTTTAACCATAAAAACTCGACCCTAATCGCATCGCATTATTTGATAAAATTTTTCTTAAATGATATAAATATACAATTAAACATAAATTACTTCATAAATTCTTCAGCAATAGATTTTAATAGTTTGTTATGATAACGTAGTGTTTAAATTAAAGCATTTTTAATCTTATTAAGATAAGCTGCACTATTTATTTTTCTGCAATATTCATTTTTCATGTGATCTTAAACATTGTTAATCTAACTGAACCTATTCATTTGGTAAGTTTTTGAATATAATAAATTGATATAAATAATGTAATGCAATACGTTTTTTTTAAATTTTTCATAAAAAATAACATAAAAAAACAAAAGCAAAATGTTGAAAAAGTTGACAATTTGACATCACAAGCACCTTAGCACTAAACCAACCTTAACAAATCCTAATTAACAGTTGCAACAATTTTTTAAATAGTTGTTCCTTTGGTATTCTCCTAGATCTTTTATTTGTAAATAAATGATCTAGATGTATTGAGAAATCTTGTAAATTTACAGATCTTGTAAATTAAGTTGTAAAAAATTTTCAAGCTCTAAAATCTCTAAAAATAATGCACAAAACAAACATAAAAGCTCAGATATCCCTCTTATTGACAAGTATTAATTTTTTGAATTGCCTTTTTTGCACCATAATGTTATCTGCATGAAAACCATAAATTGTATTTGCTCGAACATACTTTGCTCGAATATCAAATACTAGAGGTGCGTAGTTATAATATCTCTCTCATAAATGATTTAAAAGAAATATCATAGCATTGCAATTTTACAAAACTAAAGTCATAAAACAGGTTTTATTGACAATGTTCTAGAACTGAGTGAATTTTACTTTTGGTACTTTTCTTATTTTGATTCTTCAATTTTATTTATTATAATTATAATTTTTTTAATAGATAATTGATTTTACTAAACTAAAGTAAAATCAGTTATCATTTTCTGCAAAAAAGTTGCATAGGAGGCAGTGACCACTTCCAGTTATGTCCTTTTTTTAAAATAAATTTTTCTTTTTTTTTTTAATGCATAAAAAAAGTAAAAAAAATTTATGTAAAGGTATAAAGTACAATAATTTTTAAGCAAACTATCAATACTTTTTACTTAATCCTAAATAGCTAAAAGGTTCTAAATGACTAATTTTGACTTAGCTTGTCAAAACTTTTGTATCTAAAAATTGTCTTACTAGTTACAGTTTTGTTACTTGGACTAGCATAGTCAATGTTGTTGATCTTAAATGTACTTACAATACTACTAAATATACCTCTGCTATTTGAAATTATGCTATTTTTTTTTCATAGCATAAAAGGAAGTAGCTTTCTGAACAAAAGAACCTGGAGCAGCGCATAATTTATATTACTTTGGTTTACTAAAAATATCTGAGTGAGAAAATAGATCTAAAATTGACTGACTGATAAAATCAGTAGTTATGTGTAATCTCATATCATGATATGTTATTTATAATAGTACTTGAAATAGTACTGGTTTGGTCTCTTCCATGAAGCATACAAACATGTACAAGAGAAAGGGGGTGTTTAAGACAGGAAGTACATATGCGGTTTGACTATCTTTTGTTCTCTATATCTCCTAAAACTTGATGTTATGTAACAGACTAATGTTTTTGACAACTGAATGTTTTTTTGTTTTTATTGTTTTGAAAAAAATTATATGGGTCCTACATGTACAAGGGGTCCTGAATCAGTGGTTTTACTGTATATGTACTTTATGGATGCCCCCTCTAGTGGAATAAGGTCTTTGTAAAAAAATATATTTTCATTTGGATCTTTAAAGAACATAATAGCAGACCTTATTTTTTTATTATAATTTAATAATTTTCTTTTTTACCTCAAGATCTTAATGCGGTAGTGGTGTAGTGGTAGAGCGCTCGCTTCATAAACGAGTGGTTCCGAGTTCAATCCCCACCACGTCCCTGTTAGTACCGCGCTCAACTCGTTTCTCCGCACAGCGGCCTTGTTCGTCAAGGTTCGTGTTTCGGAGTTATAGAGTTGAGAGAGGGTTATAGCCACAAAATAAGTAGCCTCCTCGTTTGTAGTGGCCTTCTCGGCCTTGAGGAGGTGAAGTAAAATTAAAAAAAAAAAAAAAAAAAGTAGATTTTAAATTATACAAATTAAAAACGCTTTTAATCAATGATCAAGTTAATAAGGGTGGATACTAGTATGCTCCCTTGATTCTACCTATATTTTCCTCAATCCTATGAATTTATACTTGATCCAAATTTATACGATGAATGTGTAAATGATTAAAATATGTATCTTTTTAAGTCATTAAAATATGTCTTTAATAAGAAGCAATAAAGTTGTTTTAAATTTTTCTACAAATTTATCATTCTTATTAGAAGAAAAAAAAGAAGCAAAATCAATGAATATTTTTTTTACTGAGTTTAATGTTTACATGGTTGTTACAGTATGAAATCACTTCTTTACAGTATCCTAAAGTAGAACTCCAAGACAATTTATTAAAATGTTTTGATTTTAATTTATTGTCACTGTTATGTTATGTGTTGGCTCCTTACCATGACAAGAATAAATGGTAGTATTATCAGCGAAAAATGCCACATATGATGTGAGAATATCTGGAAGATCGTTATTGTAAATTAAAAAGAGTATAGGGCCAAGGATTGAACCTTGAGGAATCCCTGAGGTTACAGAATAATAAGAAGAGTGCTGTCCATCAAGGACAACTTTTATACTACGATTGGAAAGGAAGGATATAATCTTGAAGATTTTACCTGATACACCGTAAGAAGAAAGCTTATGGAGAAGGCCAGCATGCCAAACTTTATTAAAAACTTTAGAAATGTCAAGAGCAATGGCTTTAACCTCTCCAACTTTATCTAATGCACGATAAAACCTATCGATTATCACTGTTAGCATATCAGCCGTAGAACAAAAAATTTATTAGATTCAAGAAGAGACATTAGGTGTTTTTTTATTAAAGATTCAAAAACCTTGCTTATAATAAGAAGAAGACTAATGGGACGATAGTTAGACGAATCAGATCGCTTTCCAGAATTTTTGAAAATAGGGATAACAGGTGCTGTTATCCAGCAGGCTGGAAAACAAGACTCTGATAAGCACTTGTTGAATAGTTTTGAAAGTATAAATGACAGCTCCGAGGAACACTTCTGCAATTACAATCTATTATAAGTATGTTGTCCAGGACACAAGCTGTAGAAGAGTCTAAACAGGAAATCCCTTTAGATTCAGAAGCTAGAATCATACGAATGTCAATCAACCTGTTTGATAGCTAAATCAGGTAAAACGCAACTAGTGGTGAGATGACAAAGTCTGAATCAAACATGAAAGGTGAAATTACAGATTTGCCCTTATTATTGATACTATTAAAGATTTTTGTGATGAAATACGAGATTTCATGACCTGAGTATAGAAGGCTTTGGTGTTAGACAAAACCTTTTTACAATGGTTCCTAGCAGTAATAAACAGACGTCTGTTTTCTGGAGAATTGTTTTGCTGATAGATATGGAAGTAACGGTTTCAATTGGAAATTGCAGCAGCACAATGTTAGGAAAACCATGAAGAAGAGTGAGGCTTGACCTAGAATCATAGAGAGGGAATAAAAATTCCATGCCAGCTTGAATCCACAAAGTTATGTAAGAAGCACATTTGTCAACAGGAAGACAAAAGATTACCCTATGACCATCACAAAGAAAATCACAGAAAGAGTCCCAGTTGGCTTTAAGGTAGTTGTAAGAGGTACGATGATAGGGGAATTCAGATGATGAAAAAGAATGAGATAATAGTTTTAGAGAGATCAAACTGTGATCTGAAGCACCTAAGGGTAAATGTGGAGAAACTGAGCATTGACTAGGATTGGAAACAAGACATAAATTGAGTAGAGAAGTTAAATGATTTGGGTGGTCTGGAAAACGATATGGAAAGTTGACTATTTGAGTTAGGGATTGAGAAAGGCAAAAGTTGTGGTCTTTAATGCTTGCAGAGTCACTAACACTAGAGCCAAGTCATTCAGTGTGATGGGCATTCAAGTCACCAACAACAACGATATTGGCTGATGGATAAAGAAAGAGAACTTGGTCAATATGATCAGAATTAACATCGAAAAGAGTGCAGTCTCAAGATAAAAGAGAGCGATATAGAACAAAGAACAAGGTGATAGAGTGAAGTGGTGCTAAATGAAAGCACATAAAAGAGTAGTCTGTGGATTCAAATCTAGTTTCCCAACAAATGGGTGAAGTTATACGAATGTAAATACCCAGGCCAAGCATGTGACTATTTGAGTCTTTGCGAATTGAAAGAAGATAACCATCAACACTAAGATCTCAAGATGAGACAGCTGAACTCAAAGTAGTCTCACAAAGAACAAGTAGGTCTGGTGAACTTTGCAAGAGATAAGATTCAACAAAGAAAAGTCACTTTGAAGACCATGAGTTTTAGTGAATGATAGCTTTAGAGAACTTGGTGATGACAGTGGTTTTTTGTATTTTATAGTTTCAGTACTTTATTCATTTTTAAATTTGTTAAAAAACTTGGTTCGAAGCATAGATACTACTCAGTACACTGTTTAATAGTCCAAGCAACTGTCTCATTACTATTAATAAACCCAAAGCTGTTACAAAGGACTCCAAATGTGGCCTTGGCAATTTACACTAAAAGTACAAACAGGGACACTATCCATGTGCAACATGTTACTGTTAATACTTGGATTATTATTTATTATTTGTTATAATTTATTATTTGTTATAATTTATTAATTTTTTTGACTTTGATAATACTTCTTTCATAATTTTATAAAAGTGAGAAAATGTATTTTTATAAGATATTTTTCAGCTGTTGTTGGAATCAGCCTCTATAAGAGCTTCCACAGAGTTCAGTAAACCTGGCTACCAACCAGCCTCAAGGCTGGTTGGTAGCCAGGTTTACTGAACTCTGTGGAAGACATAAAACTGAGTTTCCGATCTGTTCACAGAATTTAACCATAAAACAAGTTGGGGTACTCCTCCTCTTTCTTTGGTGTATATGTAATATATGGATGGCTCCATATCCCTTTTTCTGTTGACATTATCCTTAATACTTGCTTGTCTCCTTTACCAGCAATTACTTTAATTGGTTTAATGATTTAAGAATTTGCTTGGAAATAGTCATCGCAAATCCTTATGCAACTATTCATGTTCTTTTGATTGATGACCATAGTGAAGTTTTGAAGCCCTTAAAAAATAGTCTGATAAAGATGTTTCTTCTTTGTTGCTGAAGTTTTGCATAGTAAAAAAGTTAGATTTGCAGATTGTATTTGTTATTATTTACACATCATACGCATTTCTTTTTAACTTATCAAAAACAACCTTACAAGAGATGAATAGTTAGTTACACAAGGGTATAAACAAAATTACTCAATTCCAACAGATATTAAAGATATGAAATTTCTTCTAATAGTAAAAAAATTATTTTTTATTGTCAAAATGAAACTTTTTAGAAATAAATTTAATAATGGTCTATTCTCTTACAGAGTCACAATTAATTTTGTAGATTTAATATTTATGCTGGTTATCAACCCTCTTTAATAAGTTGTTTAAGTATGCTTTAACATTTAAGTTAATGCTATAGAATTAAAGGTGCATATGGAGAATGCAAGTTCTCCCCTAATTATATCTACACATTTAGCAATTTGCGGGAAATAAGTCAATTGGGTTACCTTATGGTACTAAATATAAACCATTTTGAAACAAATTATGTTTAGGTCAAGTTCTCCTTTAGTCCCAAAGTCATCCCAGTTTACAGTATACAGGCTGTGAGATTCTGATTTGATTGATGTTCTAATTTTTATTGTTGCAAGTTATAAAGTTTCATCTAAGCTATATTTGGGGTAGTGAGTTGAGTTAAATTGAGTGAGTTCTATATCACACATTTTACAGTTCATTTGATTTACTAATCATTGGATTCTGACACTGCCACAGTTTTAAGAAGTTTAATAAAATTTTGTTGATCTTGTAAAACAATGATATAGCAATGACCTTAAAAAGCATAGGTAAAAATGTCCAGAGTTAAAGAGAAAGTATTTCATTTTAATTTAGTAGACTTGTTTACAAACTGACAAATTTAGTAGACTTGTTTACAAACTGACAAAAGTTTATTTATGTTTTTTTATTGTTCCTATTATTTGATATATTTTATTATTTGTTATATTTTATTATTTGTTATATTTTATTATTTGTTATAATTTATTGTTATAATTTATTGTTATAATTTATTGTTATAATTTATTATTTGTTATAATTTATTATTTGTTATAATTTATTATTTGTTATAATTTATTATTTGTTATATTTTATCATTTGTTATATTTTTTTATTTATTTTATTTTATTATTTGTTATATTTTATTATTTGTTATAATTTATTATTTGTTATATTTTATTATTTGTTATAATTTATTATTTGTTATAATTTATTATTTGTTATATTTTATTATTAGTTATAATTTATTATTTGTTATAATTTATTATTTGTTATAATTTATTATTTGTTATAATTTATTATTTGTTATAATTTATTATTTGTTATAATTTATTATTTGTTATATTTTATTATTTGTTATAATTTATTATTTGTTATATTTTATTATTTGTTATAATTTATTATTTGTTATAGTTTATTATTTGTTATAATTTATTATTTGTTATAGTTTATTATTTGTTATAATTTATTAATTTTTTTGAATTTTGATAATACTTCTTTCATAATTTTATAAAAGTGTAAAAAAAATATTTTTATAAAAGTGTAAAGATTTTTTAATATAAAAAAAAGTTTAAAGAAGGTATCAGATAAAGTGCCAGGACAATGGGTCCTCATAGATACAATTATAATAGAAACAATATTATAAAAGATGGAGTGTAGAAGTAATGTAGTAAGTAACAAAAAGTAAGTGTAATTGTAGTAAGTAACAAAAAAGAAAAATTGTGAACCTTGTAATTTTTATAAGAACCCAGAGGAAGATATTTAGATGATGATGACTGATGAAATATTAATTTCAGAGCAAAAATGAAATAGTTGTAAAGCTGATGGTCATAAAAAAAAAGATGTTGTTGTATTAAAGAGTTGAAAAATGTTGTGTGATTGAGACTGGTACAAACAAGGTTTTTTAAGTATGTTTTTAAATTTGTTAAAAAAAATTTGATTTCAATAAAGAGTTAATGTTACTTCTCAGCATTATGTCTCTACATTGTTATTTCTACGCTACAGTATATTACTACAAAACTTCTAACATTATTAAAACACTTCTAACGTTACTACAACACTTCTAACATTACTGCAACACTTCTAACATTAGTACAACATTTCTAGCATTACTACAACACTTCTAACATTACTACAACACTTCTAACATTACTACAACACTTCTAACATTACTACAACACTTCTAACATTACTACAACACTTCTAACATTACAACACCTCTAATATAACTACTCAATAAAGAATTTAATTTACAAGATCTATTGATCTTGCTATGCAGGATTTATAATGTATATTGTTTATAAGATAGAAACCAAAGGGAAAAAAACAAATAAAAACTATTTGTTGTTGATCAACAACAAGCAGTTTTGAATTTTACCTGTTTAATAAACATATTTTGAAATGTCTGGCACTTTTGTCAACTGTAAAAAGTGTTTAACTGAGTACTAAGATAGATATTTAAAATTATTTTTCTTCAAGGATTATAGAGAGCAACTTTAGTCTATAGAGTTTATGAGTGGTCAGCAGTAGCTATTATGAGTGGTCAGCAGTAGCTATTATAAAAGCATTCAAAACTTTGTATCATAAAAGCTTTGTATCATTTACTGTTGTTCATAATTATTTTAAAAATCCTCAAAAGAATAATTTTTTGGAAATTCTGTTACTCTGTTTTCCTTACATTAATTATAATTAATGTAACTCAAACCATTCAATCCTTTTTTTTAAAATTATTATTGATTTTTATTATTCTGAAGGAAAAGTTTTCTCCCAGTTTCTGTTGTTACTAGTAAATACAATGAGTATAGTTGATCCTGTTTTACATGTACTATGCATTTTAGTTAGAAATTACAATTAATTCATTACATAATTGAATGCCAATAAAAAAATTTTTTTTTTAATATTTTTTTTTTACCTTCTAATTTTGATCTATATAATAAAATAACACTGGGTTTCAAAACAATGGTATTTTAAAATTATATTTATATGTTGTTTTAAACCCTTGAACTTTAGGTGGGTCTTAAATGTCAAGAAATTTTTTTTTTTAAATCTAGAAAATATTTTTTTCAAGTGTCTCAAAAAAAAAAGTGACAAAGTTTCAAAAATAATTATCTTATTTTATAAAATCTCCACAAAAAAAAACTGCTTTCAAAAAATCATAAATCTTTTTTTTGTGGTTAATGTTAAAAAAAATTTTTTGAAATCAATGTCATTTAATTAAATAGAACATAATTATAGATTAAGCGAGATTAAACATTTTCAATAAAAATCGTTTTAATTGGCACATTATTACATATGCTTATTTCTTTGTATATCAAGATTTGTATTAAACGGTTTCAAAAAATTGTTTTTAATTGCACCTTATTACATATGCCTATTTCTTTGTATACTTTATTACATATGCTTATTTCTTTTTATACTTTATTACCTTATTGTATATCTTATTACATATGCCTATTTCTTTGAATACTTTATTATATATACTTATTTCTTTGTATGCCTTATTACCTTATTGTATACCTTATTGCATACGCTTATATCTCTGTTAATCAAGATTTGTATTTTGAGTGATGATAATACTCAACTTATTTTAAATTATTTACATATAATATATATATATATATATATATATATATATATATATATATATATATATATATATATATATATATATATATATTAAAATACAATAAATATATATATATATATATATATATATATATATATATATATATATATATATATATATATATATATATATATATATATATATTAAAATACAATATATATATATATATATATATATATATATAATATATATATATATATATATATTAAAATAATTCATCTACTATATTTAATATATTTATTAACAATATATTACTACTTGTATTGAGATATTTTTCGTTATAGGATGCTTGATCATAAAAACCATTCAGGTTGGCATGAATTTGCAGCTGGGGCAGGCGCATCTTTTATTAATTTAGCATGCACATTTCCTGCGCACAAGGCAATGCTACGTCAGCAGGTTGACTCTATTACACTTTATAGAGCTGTCAATCAACTGAAACAAGAAGGTATTTTTAAACTATATCGTGGGTTTGCACCACCACTCATTCAGAAATGTGCTGGACTTTCTTTAATGTTTGGTTCATATCATGCCTTTGAAAAAATGTTTTCTGAAAATTTTCCTTCATACAGTTCTCTTACAATAAAGATAGCTGCAGCTCTGCTTGCCGGGAGTATAGAAGCCTTGTTAGCCCCGTTAGAGCGAATGCAAACTTTGCTTTCCATTTCCGAACACAAGGACTACGTTTACGTTCGAAATACATTGCATACTTTTTTAAAGATTAAAAAGCACTATAACTGGAAAGAATACTACAGGGGATTCACGCCGATCTTATTGCGTAATGGACCAAGTACTGCAGTTTTTTTTGTTTGTCGAGAGTCTATTAAACAATCTTTTCCTACACCCCATAATAGCATAGAAAATGTTGTTGAGGATTTTTTAAGTGGTGCCCTATTAGGTGCATGTAATAGTACATTATTTTACCCCCTGAATGTTGTAAAAGTGAACATGCAAAAACGGCTGGGTGAAGAATATAAAAGTATAGTTGTAACAATTCAGGAGATTTATCGTTTGCGCGGTGGAAGTATACAAAATTTGTATTTTGGTGTTCATTTGAATTTTAGCCGAGCCTTGGTCTCTTGGGGCATTATTAATGTATCTTATGAATACATTATGAAAGTTTTGTCTAGAACAGACAAATAAGTTTTTTAGCTTGTTACATGTATAATATATATGTTACTTATAAAAGGTAATTGTAAATAAAAAAATTTACTAACTAGCCATTGCAGTTAAAAATAAAATATTTTTTTTAACAAAATGTTTTTATTTCAACGTTGCTTGCTTCCTTTGGATTTTTAAATGTTTGGTTAGATATTTAGTAACATAGATATATAATTGCAAAAGGAAAACTAAACAAAAAGATATTCTAAACAAAACTTTTATTTATTTTGTTTTACTATCATTTTTGTGTTATTAGCAATTATTAATGTAAAACTTAAACACTAAAATTAGTGTAGATCAGATCAAAATTTTAAAAAAGATTTGACCTTTATAAAAAACCGTTTAAAAAATAATTTAAAAGCGCTTTTATAAAATGCAATACAAAGCTAAAGGGTCAAATTATAAATATGTTAGACCCATACACGTACGAAAAATTATCTGCATTTTTAATTTAGAATATAATCATAAAAATTAAAATTCCGATTTTGCAGTGATACAAACGTATGGTATAAAAAATCAGAAAAATTGTATATTTGAATAAAAAGTTATGATATATTTATATATATAAATATATTATAGTATAATTTTATAAATCGCAATTATAGCCTCTATTTTTCTTTTTATTTCCCTTATATTTCTTATACAGTAGAATCCCGTTTACTCGCTCTCAGAAGGGGTATATATATTTTGTCCGACGTAGCAGATGTCCGAAATAAACGAAGCTCTCGTTATGTCGGACTTTCTTAAAATGTCTGATTTATCGAGATTTATCGACAAAAAATGACACAGGAATGTTTTAACGATGGGTGTTTAAAAGCCAAATATAACATGCTTTATCCAAATATTTATTTAGTGAGACTTTTTTTTTTTCGGCTTCTGAATATATTGTGTTTTTTTTTTGACCATGATTCTTCTTTGTCGAATTTCTAGTATTTTTTATGTTATAGTTCTACTCGTTAGCTTTCATTTAGCAACCTTCGACATTTTTAATAAATAAAATTTTATCAAAAATTAAAGAAACCGAAGATAGCAGTAAAAATGTTTAGTTCACTAACTTAGATTTGACGCAAAGGTACTTAAATTTTCAACGTTTTAAGCTTTGAATTTTAATTGTTGTAATTTTAATTTAATATTGTAGTCATTAATATAATTTAATCAAAGTTTAACCGAATCGAAGATATCAGTATCAAGTAAACCCTAATCCTTCATTTTCATACATTGATTAACAAATATTTAGAACATGCAAGGAGTGTTGCTTTATCAACTAGGAAATAAATAGATCATGCGAGTAGTGCTTTTACATTGACTGAGGTTTTTGGTTTGTGCAGGCGATATATCAATTAAAAAAAAAAAATTATTCAAGGGAATTTTTTTCCGGGGATAAGGGGGTTGATTTCCTGAGGTATTATTTCCTAGAACCTTTTTCAAAAACCTGTTACTTCAAAGGCATTATAACATAAACGATATAAAGTTAAACTAACTGTATAATGCACTCGTGCATATCATTACAAGCATTAATCAAAGAATCAAAAATTACCTATACTTTTTATTTCTTTGAAAAATATATTTACATATATTTTTATATGAATGAAAATATATATACAATCCCGCCAGAAACTAATTTGACAACCGTGGCCGTGACAAAAGCAACCGTGGCGCAGTGGTAGCGCACTTGCCTCAGAAACGTAAGATCCGTGGTTCAAACCCCACCTCTAGCAAGTTTTGCGACATCGGTTCGGAAGGAGGCGTGAACTTCCTATTAAATGCTCTTCCGTGGTGCTCTGTGATAAGACCGTAAGGACTTCTTGGGGCACCTAAAATCAATATTAAAAAAAAAAAAAAAAAAAAAAAACACCCTTATTTAATATTATTTTTAGTATTTTGAAGGATAAAAAAAAATACTGATGCTATTTTTCTAAATGTAAAATATGTTGATTTTACGCATTAATACGTTATTTTTTAGTGGTAATTATATATATAGATACATACACAATATACAAATACAAATTTAAAATTAGGTTCTTAATAATACAAACAGAAAGGAAGTTTACAACAAAAAAAAAAATATAGAAATTATTTTAAAATTCAAAAAAAAGATTAATAACGGGTTTGAAGGCCTCTTGATTTGATGACCTAGCAATCGTGTACGCATACTATCAATTAATTTTTTAATGATTTGTTGAGGCATATTTTCTGCTGAGCTCCGTGTGGTATTGCCTCTGTAGAGCTCATTTTAATTGAGATTTATAACCTCTTTCGTTTTTGGGTATCTTGCAGTCCATTTTGTTCTTTAGGTATTCTATGGGATAGTTTTAGGGTGGCAGGGTCAACAAGTTAATGTAATTTTCTACCAAAAATTTCAATGCAATTTTGATCTTTGTTTGGAGTGATTATCCTACTAAAAGAGGTATTATATATGAATAAAAATATATTTAAATATGTTGTTGTCTTTGAGTCCTAGTTGATTGGCTGAATCTGAAAAATTATTTATAATAACTTTTTGCGACTAAAAGATTCTTTCCAAAAATTTTCGAGGCTTATCTGCATGTTTTCTGACGAACTTTAGACGCTTAGAGGTTTTAATCTTTGAAACAAATGGTTTTTTTTCTCGACACATAGCCACTTAGTTTTAATCTAGATTTGATTTACCTGCTTATCTTCGCTCATCAATTGGTAAATTAAAAACTTCTTTCACCTTTCTGAATTAAATGGTCTTTCCGTTGCCTCAGTAGTAATTAATAGGTTTTGACAAAGTGTTGTCAATTATTTTCGGCCGAAAACAAATACTTCCGGTCCTAGAAATATTTTTGCAAACTTTTTTTACATCTCCTCAAATATGTTGGTGATATTTGGTAAAGATTTACCAGTTTATCTTCGCTCATAAAATAATTGTCGCAGGTGAGGCGTTAAATCTCTTACTTTCAGCTCTCTAGAATAATTATAAAATTATAATATACATTCCAATTTAAGAAAATTTACTTGGAACTAATTTTTTTTTAAAATGCATAATAACAAAATGTTATCACAAATATAGACATAGACTAATTTGAATGTATAATTTTAAAATTTAAATTAAAAAAAAATATTTTTACCAACTTAATTTTGGAAAAGTTATCAAAAATGATAATAAGTTACCTTCCTACTTCAAATGTTACAGTATAGTTAGCTTTTTTGAAAGAACCGATTATCTCATTAACATTAGTACCATAAGAAATGGGAAACAACTGAAATCCAGCTAAACTTCAGATTCTTGGAATTAGAAAAACGATTACCTCATTTTTATTTTATTATTAATTAAAAATAAAATTTACAAAGATTTTTTTCCAACATAAAAATTAAAAGTATAAAATTTTGACAGGGTTTTATTATTCAGCACTGTTGATTTCACTAAAAAACACAACTAATAAAAAAGAATTAGGCGAAAACGGTCTCAACAAACAATGACTACCAGCAGTATTGTTTTTTTCTAAAATATGCAGGGCCGCCAAGAGGGGGGTAGCACCGGGACAGTTTGTCCCGGGCGGCAGATATCGAAGGGGCGCCAAACGAAGTATAGGTGCCTAAAAGAAAAAAAAAAAAATACCAGTCCTTTATATATAATATGGGGAAAATTTGTAAATAAGGGCGCCAATCAGGATTCCTGTCCCAGGCGGCGTGACTGGCGTGACAGGCGTTATTCTAAATATAGAGGTATAAAACACATGGGAAAAAAACTACCAATTCTTATCTAGACATTTATTAATTCAATTCTAATCTAGAAACTTATTATTAGGTAGAAATTCAATAAGCACAATAAAAAAATAACAACAAACTGACTTGTTAATTTATTGTTAAAATATTGTTTACGAATTCTTTAAACTTCTATTTTTTTCAATTGCTAATGATGTTTTGAAACAATATCATTAGATAGCTTTTGTTAAAAGTGGAATGTGATTGGTTAACATTAAATTATGATAATTCTGTGGTGTTTAATAAAAAATTATTTTACTACTCGGTGTAGTTAAGGCGATTTACAAATTTTTCGAATTTTTTTATTTTGAAATTAGCATGAATTTATAAGCATATTATGCCCAAACAAAAGCTATATATGTTATAACTTTCTTTGCTTCAGGCTTTTTAATATTTGAAGATACTTTTCTCTTTTTTTTTATAAATTTCAAAACCTTTTTACTATCCGTAGTAGTTAATCTAAAAAACACCATTTTGGAGTCTTTAAATCACTTCCGTTCATCGGGGTTAACAAGAAAATAGTTAAAATCTTATCCTAGTTCTAATCGGTTCTGACGTATATTCAAGGCCGGCGTGATGAGGAGGGGGTGGTGGTGCTGTGGGGTTGTGTGACCCCCCCCCCATCAAAGATTTTTTCGTTAATTTAGTGGGCAAATTTGACTTTTTTTAAGTAGTCAGTCGACAAATGTTGACCCTTTCACCAAGTTAATCAGTAAACTCAGAGAGTCAGTCGGCAAATGTCGATAAGGCAGTCGGCAAATTTTAAAAAACGAGGACCATTTTTTTTTTTTTCAGTCGGCAAATGTTGTCTTGGCACCCCCTCCCTACGTGACACCTACTTGCGCCGGCCCTGCGTATATTAACTATATATAGTTGTCAAAATACAATGTTTCCATCAATTTTTACAAGAAAGAGCTTTTAATTAAGAAAAAGCCCCAATAAACGATCATAACAGATCATATTATTAAACTATAATGTTCATTTTACCTAAAAACATATTTATTTAAAATCTCATTCAAAGTTGGACAAGCAAATACTGGGTTTTTTTGCAACAAAGATTTTATATTTTATGATACCTCAAAATTTACCATTTTAGTTTTTTCTGATCATTTAACGGAAATATGTAATAGTCAACAAAATATCATACAGGCGCTATAATATTTTAAAACTGCCTTAACTACACCGAGTACTAAGACTGATCTTCGAAAAATGACGATACATGAAAGCAAGGAGTTATAAGTTATAATAGCTTAGCTGGAAGGAGAACAAAGTTAAAATACGTATTTTAACTTTGTTCTCCCTCCAGCTAAGCTATTATAACTCGGTTTCGACTACAATGCTGAAGTTGAAATAGAAAGTCGGC